ACAACTGTCTCTGGAAGTTAAAGCACCAGAAAATGAATTAAGTCCTGCGCAGCTGTCATCCGTACGCAAGGAAGTAAGCACAAGATGTCGAACACCCTTAGCAGGATGCAGCGCACCCTTCATGCGACTCGCAGAACATCTCACGGCACTTCGCGCTTGGCAATGTGAGAGCCTGGTCCGGTGAGAACCCGGCGTGCTCCGTCCCGGCTTTGTAGGGATGCGAGGTCAATGGTCTAACGACCACGGTATGCACGACTACGAGTACACCTTCCCACGGCGGCCGTCTCGACTTCCATACGCTGCTGTGTCTAGAGTTCCACACGGATGTTTTCGACGCATGCATCTCGTGTTTCTTCGCTAATATGCATGTGGCATTTTCGATTTGTTTTGTTCTCGTCACCGAGTTGTTAACGACGTTTGCACCTTGTTTCTCCCCCAATATGGCCTGTTCGATTTTTGTTGTTCGCGTCTGACCACTGGCTGCTGTGCTTTGATCTTTTGTTGTTTCCAGGCGAGAGAGTCCCTCCAGGACAAAGACAGGGCCATGGAAGAAACAGAGTACCGCATCCGGGAGTTGCAGGAGAGGCTCCAACACGCGCGCTCGCAAGCGGGGTGAGCAAAGGAAGGCAGCTCATTTCGCTCTCGTCCCCATCATATCGCTTTTAATTCGTGTTCATTTTTGTTCAATTCTTGGGCTTTGCTCCCCCTGCCCCCCCGCCCCCCCCGGTGGTTGCCATCGGGGTTGGGTTTTCGTCGCTTGGCAACGACGTTGTATAACAAGCCGCCTCCCCCGGTGTTTGCCTTCGGGGTTGGGTTGTCGTCGCTTGGCAACGACGTTGTAAAACAAGCCAATTCACTTCGTGAACTCGACAACCAGGTTACCGTTTTTTTTGTTTTCCTCTTTTTTTTTTTGCGGTAACCATAATGGTGGTCGAGTAGATTATGTTGTGCGGGGTNAAGTACCAGAAAAAAATAAATTAAGTCATAAGCAGCTGTCATCCGTACGCAAGGAAGTAAGCACAAGATGCCGAAAACCCTTAGCAGGATGCAGCGCACCCTTCATGCGACTCGCCGAATATCTCACGGCGCTTCGCGCTTGGTGATGTGAGAGCCTGGTCCGGTGAGAACCCGGCGTGCTCCGTCCCGGCTTTGTAGGGATGCGAGGTCAATGGTCTAACGACTACGGCATGCACAACTATGAGTACACCCCCCCCCACCCCACCCTTTTTCGCTCGCTCGTTCTGTCTGATTGAGCGACTGAGAGAGATGGCAAGGTGGATCATCAAGAATTGTAATGGCACGTAGTTGCACAAAGCTCATGACGTTGTCCTCAAAGTCCTCAAACCCCTCCCCGTTTCGGGTTTTCCAAGTCCTACCCCTTATATCGACCTACACCACGACCGTTCTTGGCTTGTTTAAGGCACGACGAGAAAGACTTGGCCGACAGAGAGACGGCGGCATCCAAGCTGGACAAACAAGTGGCCGCCAAGGAAGCCGAGCGTCGCGAGGTCAGGTTCGCCCGTCGCTTCGGTTGTTGATACCGTGATACAAACCTCTTGTTGCGCCTGTGCTATGATTAGTGCTGTGATCGCACAGCGTAAGGTGACATGGCCGTCTCTCCTCGAAGCGCGCACACAGCACAAGTTTGTCCGTCAGGTTGAGTCATGTTTATTCGAGCCTTGGTAATGTTCTTGCGATTCAGGGGACGATGTTTCACCGCTCCCGGGGTGAAAGCGGGCATGTGATGCTGACGAGTGGGCGAAGAAACCGCTGTGGTGGTGACAGTCATTTTCGGGTGTGAGCGCAAGGCGGAGGCGTGTGCTCCCGACTATGTGGGATATGTTGTCTCCGGGATACGTGATGGTACACGCGAAAGCGCGATAGTTGAACTTGTGTGCATCTGGGTGTGCTGGACGTCGATTTTCGCACGTTTCGGCACACTGGTTCACCAGCGGCTTCGTTGTCCTGTGTTTTCATTCACCACCCGACCCCTTTACTCTCCCTCCATCTTCCCGGCCGCCACCGTAATCGAAGACTCACCGACCACAACCCTGACACCAACACCCAACATCGCAACCACAACCAACACCGACGACAACGACAGCTTCTCGGCGTTCGAGCGAAGCTGGAGCTGGAGGTGAAGGACCTGTCGGAGCGCGTGGCGACGGACGGGGACGAGCAGGACCGTCTCGCCGAGGAGCTCAAAACCCTGGACGCCAACATTGCGGCCCGGAAAAAAGACCTCGAGACGGAGGCGGGGCCGGCGTACGACAAGGCCCGAGCAAGGTGAGGTTAACCTCGATCGGAGGGTGAGATTGGCGGTGGGGGGAATGGTACGCATGTCGTCATGCCGGGAGGGAGCGGTTTCGCCGGCCCAGGCTACGTGTCACGAGGATGAACCAAAAACTGGTAGTCATCATCCTTGCGCTTGTTTTCCCGAACGAAATATATGGCGGGAGGGGGGGTTGTCTGTCTGGCACCCAGCGCGCTCGCCGGTTGACCAATGACACGATGTGAGTCTTTTGGAATCCGCGGGGGCTCCCCGATAGGGAGGCCGCGGATAGTACTGCGATGGGAGCGTTCAGCGTTGTATCTTGGCTGCCTTGTGAAGGATAAGCATAGGGCTCCCGCTTATGCTCCCTATGACGGAGGGTTCGGCGAACGCCGAGGGCTAGATACATGTGTTGAAGGAGGCGTTACAGGGGAGGAGGCGGGGGAGAGAGGTTTCGTATTGTTTGCGTGGGTATACGTTCGTGTGTGATGAACTGCTTTAGTGTTTCATTTTGTTGGCTAGAGAACGAAATGGGGCGGGAGAAAGCCCGAGGACGGTTGAATCATTGAAATTAGACGTTGGTGTCTTGGGTTGGCCGGGGGGCGGGGACAAGAGAGAAGTACCTAAATAGCCTCGCTCGACCTGTGGCTACGGAGGCGTGTCGGCCAAAAGCGTTGTTTCCCAATCCCTGGAAGGAACAACCGCGTTCGCGGAGAGGCACGAGCAGCTTGCTTTTGTTTTGTTTTTTCGGCGACGATGACGGTCGCAGGAAGGACCACATGTCTTGCCGCAACCGCTTGCTACTCAGCAGCTACGACGATTGCGGTTCGCAGCTGATCATGTTCCAGGCAGGCTGCCTTGTCCTTGCCTTGCTGTTTTGGCGCCACCATTTACTCAGGCAACTGCCTGTCATGTTCTTGCGCTCTTAACCCTACGTCAACGCTGCACGCCCAACGTTATCGGTTACCGTTACCACGCAACAGCGTGAGCGCTACGGAGATGGAGCTCAGCGCGGCGGCGGGACAGAGGGAAGAGCTCTACGCCAAGCAGAGCCGCGGCTCCAAGTACCGGACCGCCGAGGAGCGCGACGCCGTGCTCAAGTCGCAAGTACGTGCTCTGTGCTTGATCGCATGAGGCTTTTCTGGCGTGTGTCTTAGTGTGTGTTGCCGTTCTCGTAGGAGAAATACCCACGTCGACAACATGCTCGCGGCACAATCCAGACGGCCAAGCCATACTTTGCACGTGGCCTCCTCCGTCGCTCTTGAAACGTTTTCCGACAATTTAAGGTGGAATCCACCCGCTTGGCGGCCAAGGGGAAATCGGACACGGCTGCAAGCCTGAAGAGCCAGGCCGTCAAGATGTTGGAGCAGCTGGACCGGCAGCGGAAGAAGGCGGCCGAGATGGAGGCCCAGCTGCAGGAGAGGCACCTGCAGTCGCAACGCGTGTCGGCGGACCTGGTGCAGCGGACCGCCGCCCGCAACAGCCTGGCCGAGGAGAGGAAGGAGAAGTGGAGGGTTATTGAGGGCCTGCAGGTGACGGTGCTACCGCAGCTGTCGCAGCTGTTTGTGTGTGCTCTTTTCATCCGATGGTGGTTTTGAGCTGGGCTTCGCGTGGAACCTGGAGCTTGTATTTCCCCGCGGTACAACACACCGCACGGCACTGCTAGAGTGCTAGACGCTCTTCACGCAGCGCGAGGTCGCTCTTTGGTGTTTTTTCTTCCATCCAGTCGTGCGTGTTGGCTTGTGGTGACTGGGTGTGCGACCTTGTTCTGCTGGTCTCTTACGGAAGAAAGGACCTGGCCGGGCAGCGGGCGGAGAAGTTTGAGGGAGGGATGGAGGGCTTGTAACGGTCTGTGAAGGGGGTATTTTCGTTGGCGTTGCTGACTACAAGTTTTGTGCCGTTGATTGTCTTGTCCCGCGCGTAATCCACGTGCACCTTCTCTTTGCTTCCATCTGTGCCTGCACGTCCATCTGCCCCCCCCCTCCTCTCTCTCCCCCTCTGTTGATCTCTGCACCTATATCTGTCTCTCTCATTCTTAATGCCCCTTTACCTCCCGCTCTCTACCTCTCTCTCCGTCCGCCCCCTCCCTTTTCTGTCTCCCTGCGACCCCCCCCTGCTGCCTTTCTCGTGGCCTCTCTCTCTCTCTTTCTCTCTCTCCCTCTCTCGCCCTCTCTCCATTCGTCACCTGTTCCTCTTTCGATGCCTTTGGTCGCTTTTGTGTCGTGCAGGACCGCATTTCTGAGCAGAAGGCCGCGCTGGAGAAGAGCGAGCGTGACCTCCGGTTTGCCATGCCTCGAAGCGTGGCCTCAGGACTGGACGCCGTAGAAGCTCTCGTCAAGGAGCAGGTACAGTCTTGTGCGATATCTCCTTATTTTGTCTACCCCCCGTCACTAGATACCAAAACTTGTGAGTAGCGCTGGTGGCCTGTAACAAAAACCTAAATTGAACCTTTAGATTGTCGAGCGTGGCTAGAGTCTATGGTGGCTTGATTTCGGATCTACATGTGCTGACACAAGCTGTACCTCTTGTTTTTTGTGTGCGTGTTGTATTTGTGTGTGTGTTTCGGCGGTGCTTTCTTCGTGGCCCCTCCCCTCCTTGCTGCCCCCTCTCTTCTCGTCCAACGCCCGCTGACAAGTGTTTTTTTGCCCAGCTTCCGTGGCGTCATGGCTCCAATCGTCCCGTTCGTTCCCCCCCCTCCCCACGGTGCCCCTCACCGCTAATCATACGGTGCCCCGGTCATCATACTCGTGTCCCTCTTCATTGATTTTCTGGCCTCGTTGTCGTTATCGTCGTTCAGCGCATCGAGGGGTACTACGGTCCGGTGTACGAGAACTTCGCCCTTAGGGATCCGGTTCTGGCAACGGCCGTCGAGGTGTGAGGTGGTGTCGGGTGGCGCGGTGGATCGGGGTGTAACGCCGCTGTGTTAAGTCTCTCGCGCGTGTGTGAAGATGGTGTGATGTTTTGCTGTGGCGTGTGGTGCCTCGTGTGCTTGAGTTCGCTTGCTGCCTCGGGCTGATTCGGTACCCATGTTACGGCCCGTGACATCGATTAGATATTGCTTGATACCCACCTTGCTTGGCTTCACCTTATTTCGATCGACTGCGGGGATGTTGGTTTTGTTGGTCCAATGGGTGTCATAGAGGAAAAACGGAGCCTACGGTGCATACCCAAAACGCCGACAAAATGACGGTGGAGTCCCTAACCAAGTGTCTGCTTGTGATCTATCATGGCTATTTACTAGCGTTTCCAGTTTTTTAGCCGCTCCGAGACTGGCGTATTTTCATTTGTGCCGCGGTTGATGCTAACAAAAACCACACAGGTAGCGGCTGGCAACACGATCTTTAACGTGATCGTGGACAACGACCACACCGCCGCCAAGCTCATGCACATGCTCGAGAGGAGGAAGCTGGGGAGGGTGACGTTCATGCCCCTCAACAAGCTGGCCACGAGGATGGCCCCCCGGAAGGAGCTAGGGAACAAGGTCGTGGCTTACCTCATCGAGGTAAGGCCGACTTCATTGCCCATGCGTTCCTGTTTTTTAGGATATGTTGCAGAAGAGGGCTCGGGGCGGCGGGGGGAAAACGCTGGAGCCGGGAAAAATGTCGTTCTTCTCCATGGTCGGTTGGCTAGACTATGACTGCGAGTTGGAGTGTTTTCGTGTCTTTTGTACATGATTGTAGCGTCTGTTACGTGTATCCCTTCCATTCTGATGTCTCATGGAGGTACGCATCTTGGTAGTCGTGACGCGGGCCAGTGGACGGGCAGGATGGTGGTGGGCTTTGCCTGGGGCTTTGATGCAATCGATTCCTTTCCTTTTGGCGAGGTGTGTTGCTAAGCTCTCCACTTTCTCCACTTTCGACTGCAGAAAACTGTCGCGAATGCCGCAAGAGAGGCACTATGTTTGTAAGGCCAAGGGCGTTTTGTGGCCGTGGCTCACGATAATCCTGAGGGGAGAGGTCAAACCAACCTCAATGAGAACCTGTTGCTGTTTCTTCGGTTTTCTGGTGGTGGAGATAGACGACAGAGGCAGAGGCAGAGGCAGAGGCAGAGGCAGAGGCAGAGACACACAGAAAGAGAAACAGAGAGAGAGGGAGAGAGAGAGAGAGAGAGAGACCCGATTGGTGTTTCCTAAAGGGCTAGTCAGGACGTCACAACAAAAACAACGGGCACCTGTCACCCCCTCCCCACCCTCGAGGGAAGAGGTTTAATCGAACTCGTCCGAAAATCACCAATAGAGGTACAACAACGCACCGGCCTCCCTCTCCCACTGGTTCTCGATCCCAGGCTGCGATCAAGTTCAGGCCGGAGGTGAAGCCCGCGATGGAGCAGATCTTCGGGAAGAAGCTCCTGGCAAAGGACTTGGAAACTGCCTCAAAATACTCGGAGCGGGTAAGAGTGCATGGGGCAAGTTAACCTTCATTTGGTCCTTTGATTTGCCCTTTCCCGCTCTTTCAACCCTTGCAGACTGGCGCCAGAATGCATGGGACAAATACACACAGCATAAATTGTTAACGCCACTGAGACTGACGTCTTTTCATTGGTCAGCCGGTTAGCCCGGTCGATGCCAGCAATAAAGAATCACGCACACGCACTGGCTTGGCTACTTGTGTGTCCCCTTGAGGGTTGTTTTTGCTGATTGTTGCTGATGAATACCTTGGAATCGGGAATGACGTGAGGGGGCGACTTTTGCCCCAGAATTTCAACCCCACATGCACACATCGGCCGCTCTTTACGTCCCTGCGGAAGTGGTGTGACACTAGACGTGTGCATAGGTAGACCCACGCAGGAGCACGACTCTACCCCCCCCCCTCCCCTTGGTACACCGTTTCGATTGGGAGATTTAGTCAACCGTAGCATTTGATTGGGAGGCGTGGTCATCGGTAACGTCGCTGAAATATCGAAATAACGAGGCAACACCAAGGTACCCTGTTCGTCCCACCCCCCGCCGCCCCCCCCGCTCTCTGGCACTTTGATGCCCCTGCAGAAAGATTGTGACATGGACGTGGTGACCATGAACGGGGATGAATTCAACCGCAAGGGTAGCATCTCCGGCGGGTACCACGACGAGAGGGCCGGGAGGCTGCTCACGCTAGAGAAAATCCGCGGGCTGAGGAGGGACCTGGACAAGCTGGCGGCGGAGCGGAAGGGCATGCAAGCCAAGGTAAGAGAGCGGGATGCGTGGCTCTGCGGTGTTGGGGGGGGACTTATTTGTTGCGTGCCTTCCGGCATTGACCACACGCAGCTTGATAGTCGTCCCGTTTTGGCCGCGTCGTGGAGCCATCCCCGAGAATCGAGTGCATGTATTCCTGGGGGATGATTTGACTTGGTTTCCATGACCTGCTTTCTGTCTTTTTTTTTGCGGAATTCGTCTCCTCTTTGCCCTTGCCAGCTCTTGTCGGGTCTTGTTCTGCCGTACAAACGCTGGCAGGCACAAGGAGGCGACGAAGAGCACAAGAATAACGACCGATAGCATGGCATGGAAACCACGCCAAATCATCTCCAGGAGAACTCAGATTGTTGCCTCGATCGGATTTGACGATGCCTTGGACTGGCGGAGCTAGCGGCCGTGGTTTGGGACGGGGGGGAGTGACGTCTTGATGAAGTCGTGGGACGTTTTTCGAGTTTGACGTGATGTCATGTGATTTGCTGTGCCGTTGGCATCTGTGGTGCTATTTGCATGTTGTAAGTGTCGCTGCCGTTTCAAAGATGGTGCCGTATGTACCATGGTGTGCGTCGAGTTTGGTTGGGGGTTGTTGTTGATCGCCACGATCTCTATGCCGTCAGTTCTAACGCCTTTTCCCGTGCCTCGCTCCTCTCGACTATCTTGGTGTTGTTGCTGGTGCTGCTTCTGCTGTTGTTATTGCTGTCGTTGTTGCTGTTGATGCTGGTGCTGCTCCTGCTGCTGTTGTTGCTATCGTTTTTGCTGTTGATGCTGGTGCTGCTCCGGCCTTGCTGTTATTGTTGATGCTGGTGCTGGTGCTGGTGCTACTGCGTTAGTCGAACGAGACCGACCAGGCGGTGACGAACCTGCTCGGGGAGGTGCAGAAGCTAGAGGCCAAGAGGGCGAGCATCCGCAACGTGATGGCTCAGACCAACAAGGACCTGGGGCACATCAAGAAGGCCACCGTCACCACCGAGGAGAAGCTGCACGAGAAGGAGGAGCTTCTGGAGCAGGTAGACGACGGCAGTTGCTGTTATGCAGAACGCGTACACCGACACTTTAATGGACTCGGAGCAGTTGCTGGTATGTATGCGTAACCGACACTTCTTGATGGTCTGGTGAAGTCTAGTGGTACCCAAAGAGCGAATGCACGGCGTTTGTGGTGTGGGTGAAGATTGGCACTACAGGAGAGGGGGATCTGCCGATGGCTCAAACGATGACAAGGTCGAAGAAAACCGGGGCTGGTATCTTCAAGAGCAGACTTATGTCCTTGAGTTCTTCCTCTGATCATCCAGTGACCCCCGCCCCCTCCCCGCTTGACGTCGCTTTGCTGCAACAAAAATGATGGTAACAGGTTAGCCGGGAAGCGCAGCAAGAATCGAACAAAGCGGACGTCCTCCAAGCCGAGATCGGCACCCCCCTCATGGTGAGCATTGCCGCGCCCTGCTGATTGCTCTTGTCGCAGGCACGGAACCAGACAGCAGTACCTAGTGCTGCTCATCGCAGGAATGGAAAACACAGTGTGCAGAGCATGGCCTGAGCCGGCGAGGGAAATTTCCCGATCACGTCACTCCACTCGCGAATCATCCTACTAGCCAGACAAGGCTTAGACACGTTCCGCACGCATCTCCCTCACAGCGCCATCTTCTTGGGTGTATAGTCAACCAAACAACGAGCACTCAGAGCTAGCGGTGATTGCTCCGAATTTTGTGTTCACCTCGAGGTAACGATGTGGCTGGTTCTACCGACAAGAAACAGTTGTAAGGCAGAGAAGGTTCGCGGGG